TAGAGTAGAGTAGAGTAGAGTAGAGTAGAGTAGAGTAGAGTAGAGTAGAATAGAATAGAATAGAATAATAGAGTTGGAAGGAACCTTGGAGGTCTTCTAGTCCAACCCCCTGCTAAGGCAGGAAACCCTATACCATTTCAGACATATGGTTGTCCAACCTCTTCTTAAAAACTCCCAGTGTTGGAGCATTCACAACTTGTGGAGGTAAGTTGTTCCACTGATTAATTGTTCTAACTGTCAGGAAATTTCTTCTTAGTTCTAGGCTAAACCATCCAAGATTAGTAAGATGCTACTAACTAATGCAGTTCCTCCAGTTCAGAATCAGATTATATTAAAGTTTTTTTTTTTTTAAGTGACCTCTAGTGCTAGAAAAACTACTTGTTTTGCTGTCTGTCCATGTCAATGTCTTCTTTTTCATGCCTCTCATAATGGATATAAACAGAGGTCACAATGTGTCTTATCTGATTTCTAAAGACAAGTCAACAACTCATCTTCTCCTTCCAACTGAAGTCAGTATTGCCTTTGGGAAATGATGGCACATGATGATTGTCTTCTTGAGAACCCAGAACCTTTAACTCATTACTGCTGTCAGTAATGGGTAAAGCAAGAGTGATATCGCTGCTGTCTTTCCCAAAATGTAACTTGTCACAGAGTCTCTTTGAATATGGGTAAGTTTCAATTTGTTTGTGAAAAATAAGTAAGCTGTATATTATTTATTGTCATAGCAGTGTCACCAGCAACACTAAGTAATAGTTCAACATCACCCTCTACCGGCCATGTTAGTATTTTCTAATTATACCTGAACCAAAACCTGTTTTGTTGCTATTCTACAAATAGAATCAGAGGGCTTGCACTCTAATCCATTAAATAAATAAAACCCATTTAATCTTGCATTGTTTCTGAACCACTAAATATTTATATCACTTATTTGCAACTAAGCTTTCTTGTCCAGAAGCAAAGATGCTCTGTGATTTGTTATCAAAATTGTGGTAATGCTATGCAATCAGGTCTTAGATTTTCTGATTACAAATGTTTTTTTCAAAACAATATTGCTTCTCTCTCTGTCTGTCTGTCTCTGTCTCTGTCTCTGTCTCTGTCTCTCTCTCTCTGATGAGTGTGCATTTTATGTTTGTAGCAAACATTAAAGGATAAATAATTAGTTTGAAATCATCTCTGTCTTTCACTCAAACTCTTTTTCTTATTTTTCTCTAATACAAGAACAAGTTAGTATTCTCTCTGTTTGAAACAAAAGTGTTTGAATATATGTTAGTGTTTCAAATGCTATTAAGTTTTATGGAAAATAATTTAATTGGTTGTTTTAATGTTGAATTTAAATGATGTTTCTTACAAATCCTTGACGTTGCATTCAGGATGTATTTGGTGGTGTGACATTTTTTATTAGAGATCCTACATAAACTCTTTGCCCTAAAAAACAGCATCTGACTGGTTCAGCTACTACTGCTTATGCCTTATTTGATTTTTAGGCTATTGACATTCCTATGTCTTTCTATTATTAGGATAAAGTTTCACAGATAATGGAACATAGCAATAGAGGAAGCGCATTGTAAATTGAGAACTCTTCCAGACAAACACAAAATGACAACGAAGATGATGGTGGTGGGGATTGAGTGAGATGAGCCTCTGAAATGATTTAGATAATGTAGCTGGAAGATTGCACTGACAATAAATTCTGAACTTTCTTATTTCTTTCGGATATGTCAGAGAATACCCAAGAGAACAGTTAAAACTCCTATATAAGGAATGTAGTACTACCTTGTTTTAAAGGGAGGGATTGTGTTCTCCTGCCAAACTTACAAGCAGACTGATATGGGAATTTCTAAAAGGGAGCAATAAAACTTCTTTCCTTACTTACTTCCTCTCTCCCTCCCTTCTTTCATTCCTTCTTTCTTTCCTTTCCCTCCCTCCCTTTCCCTTTCCCCTGCCTCCCCCTCCTCACTAGTGGCCTCACTATCTCCCTTCCTTCCTCTCTCCTTCCTCCCTCCCTCCCTCCCTGATGCAAATGTTGCCTTATACAAGGCAGAGATAAAGCACAGAGGTCAGCTACTGACTAGCATTCTCTGAGTATGTGTGAACAGGGCATTTATCCTCATACTTGAGCTCTTGTTCCTGCCAACTTAGCAGATCAAAACAGTGGTGGGATTCAAAAACATTTACTACCAGTTCTGTGGGCATGGCTTGGTTGGCATGGCAGGGGAAGGATGCTGTAAAATGTTCAGACTCATGATATTCTGGAATTGGCAAAATCAGGAAGTTGGAACAATCCTTCAGATGAGTTTTAAAATAAATTCCAAAGACTGGGGAAATAAAAAGAGGATGATTAATGATTAAACATCAATTAAATGAATTATTGTCAACAATCCCTAGAGAGACAGAGTGTCAAACAGGAGTTTTTCCAAAGTTCAGTATGGGAGCATTGTTTGAAAATGTGATCTCTGTTTTTTTATCCTTATTTTATGCCATATACACACACCTAATCCTTACGTATATCTGTGTATCACTACTATGGATCTATCCTATCCACTTTTGCCTTTTAGTGTGAAGTCTATCTTTGGTCTATCCATTTGTACCAGCATTTCCAGCTGTTGTAGTATATTGACGTGTCTTTATTTTTTAATGCCAAAGTTAAGAGGTCTTACAAACTGTTGAAGATGAGAATGTTTTTAATTGTTTTCTATTTTTTTCTTTCTATTTTCTTCTTCCTTTCTTCTTTTTCTCTCTTTCATTCATGTATGTGTTGTTGGTTTGTTTTAACTGTAAAATCAATAAAATTTATTTTTTAAAAAAAGAAAATGTGGTCTCTGTTATAATATTGTTCAACTGATGTAGTTGGTCAGCCAAATTAGGAAAGACGGATATAGAATCAAGATAAGGGATGGTGTATCAACTGAAATTACTCAGGTATAGATACTGCAGAATAGTTTGGGAAGTGGAAGTTTCTTGGTGGCCTGGATTTGAAGAATGCAAGTGCTCTACTATGAATCAATGCAATGTTCCATGTATGAAAGGTAAATTAAATCATCCTGATCTATATATGAAACCAATAATCTCTTGTAAGCCACCTTGGGAAACATTTGCCCTTAAAGGTAACCCATAATTGCTAAACAAATACAGTAAAATCAAGAGCAAAGCTCCTGGCTAATTAAGTGTCACCTCCTCAGTGGATTCATATATTGAATGGGATATACAAGCAATTAGGACAATAATCCAAAGCATGTTTTACTGTGTTGTAAGCTCATTCAACAAAGTTTTAAATCAGCATATATAGACTTGTGCTTTTGTTCTTCTCAGAAATGGAAACAATTGGTGATCACTGCTTTTTATTTGAAAATAAGAAAGCCATGTCCAAGAATATACTAAATATGGTTCTTTTAAAAAAGATCAAGCCAAATGGGCTTTTTCTTAGAATATGTCAAAGCAAACATACATATGTACAAGCACACCTGTTCGGGATAATGATCAACAATCTTTGAAAATAATTCCCATGAATCTAATGCAATTATAAATTATGTTTTTACAGATAATGTACTAAACATTTCAATATTGAAAATTCCAATTTCAAAATTAAGATTTTGAGCAGTTCAAGCAAGTTTCATCTAGTAGTTAAGACACCAGGCTAAAAATCAGCAGAGTTTTGGTAAGTTCTGATTCCACCTTAGGCATGAACACCAGGAGTGTGATTTTGGGTCAGTCACTCTTTCACACAGCCCAACTCACTATATAATGTTGTTGTTGTGGAAAAAATAAGAGGAAGACGTATTACATATTTTCCTCCTCCTTCTCCTCCTTCTCCCTTATACTTCCTCTTTTGCTGACAAAATAAATTTAATAGAATCATTATTCTTACATAAATTTAAATGTTCAATTAAGGACTGGTTAGGTTTTGCACATTTCCTATCAAACCATAATTTGATTCTTTTGCAAGAACTCCATTCATATTAACAAAATTAGTCTCTCTTTAAATAATATGACTTTCATTATGAGGGACTTTTAATTCATTGAATAATCATTTAGACTGCAGAGATTTCCAGAAATATATAGAGCCTGCATTGTTCACTTACCCTCTCAGCCTTTTTTTTTTACACAAATATAAATGTTGGGGCTAACCCATTTGATTTGCACAGCAAAATACATAAAAGACAGAAGAACTGTGTTTGAATGCTCAAAGGTTTTCCAGAAGTTTAGTGAATTGGAATTGTTTCCCTTCAGAACTATCAACTTTAGCTGCTCATAACTCCAAAATATTTAGGCACTTGATGTTATTACCAAAGCATATAATACATGAAAAGATGGGTATGGCCAGGAGCAGCTGCTTTATTGCTTAAACTGGCAACAAATGTTACTTCAAATAAAGTCTGAATTGAAATAAAATGGTCTTGCTGAGACCAAGGGAGGCATTTTCAGACATTTAAAAAAAACTGGAGGAAACTATGCAACTGCCTTCCAAGTTTGCCTTGGAATATATAGCGAGAATATATATCAGAGGTATGTAGCAAGAATATATATCAGAAGTGGTATTCAGCAGGTTCTGACCAGTTCTGGAGAACAGGTAGTGAAAATTTTCAGTAGTTCAGAGAACCAGCAAATACTACCTCTGACTGGAGATTTTACAGTATCCTTCCCCCGCCATGCCCACCAAGCCACGCCCACAGAACTGATAGTAAAAAAATTTGAATCCCATCACTGATATATGTATGTATGTATGTATGTATGTATGTATGTATGTATGTATGTATGGTATTCAGCTTTGTTCTGGTATTTTCCCATGTCATTATAGTTGTGCTTTTAAAGTTGTAGTGACATTTCAGCAGAATCTCATCTGCCATCATCAGGCTTCTGTATTGTGTTCGTCTGTGAGTCAAGCTTTCACAGCCATTTCTGTTTTAAATTCGGTGCTAGCCTACTGCTGTGTTAGAATGGTTTTTTCTTCATCCTGATTGGTTGGGAGTCTTGGTCTGTGTTTATTGGTCTTGGAGTTTGCTGTGTTCTGCTTGATTGGTGTTTCTAATATCTTTTATCTCTTTTGTACATTTTCTTGTCTTGATTGACTGGCAACATTGTATTTCCTGTATTGGAGGCTTTTAGTGTGGCTTGGCTTTGCGTAAATGGATGGCTATCATTTATTAGGAAGCTAGGTTTCATCTGGGTGCCTGGTTGGGGTGTGTTTGAGCTGGAGGTAATGGAGGGGGGTGTCTTTTTGTGCCCAGGTGTTTGCTTGGCTTGTGGTGTGGAGATTCTTTTGTTTGTGAGCGCAGGCTTCCAGATAATTGACAGTCTGGTAGAGTCATCTCTTCTATTCATGCTTTCAGGTCTTTTTTCAATCTCTATGGCTTCTCTGATAATTCTGTAGCTGGGGTTTTTCTATAATCAAGACACAAAAAAAGCCACAAAACAGACAGAAGATATTAGAAACACCAATCAAGCAGAACACAGCAAACTCCAAGACCAATAAACACAGACCAAGACTCCCAACCAATCAGGATGAAGAGAAAACCATTCTGGCACAGCAGTAGGCTAGCCTCAAATTTAAAACTGAAACAACTGTCAAAGTCTGACTCACAGACAAACACAATATAGAAGCCTGATGATGGCAGATGAGATTCTGCTGAAATGTCACTACAACTTTAAAAGCACAACTATAATGACATGGGAAAATACCCAAACAATATATCATACATTTTCTGGTGCATTTCATCAATAAAGGTATCTTAAACCAGGTCCTTCAAGCAATACCTAATAGATTTATTTTTAGCACACTTAGTAGGTATAATTGGCACAACAAGGTTGCTTGTGTTAGGTTATATTTTTTAGAGCATCTCTCTGGAAGCTTCAAAAACAAAGGGCAAAGCAAAGCATTAACTTCTCAACCTAATTCTTCTATCTAGAATGACAGGGGAGAGGAAACAATGTTGAGACTAGTGCACCTGCCATGTTAAATCCTAATCCTTTTTTTAATTTCACATTTTTATTAAGATAAAATAAGATACAAAATACAAAAGTAAATAGAAGAATGGTGAGGAGGAAGAGGGGGAAGAGAAATGAAGAAGGGTAGGAAAAAAGGAAAAAAAATTGACTTCCGATTCTCTCTGTTGCAGCAAAATAAGGCATTAACATCAAATCACAAATTTTTGGTTTTTTTTCATAATAATATAAACAAACCATTTCTATAAAGATCTATGAGTCTAATCAGTAAAACTCAAAATCAAAGTTTCATTTCCACTTCAAGCACAAAGTCCAGAAGAGGTCTCCATGTGGAAACAAAAGTACTTATATTCTTTTCTTTAATCAAAACAGTCAATCTTGCCATTTCAGCCAACTCCACACAACCATTCATCCATGGTAGGAATCGAAGTAGTCTTGCTGCTGTCAACATATAGAATAACAAAGTTCCATTTTATCCTGAGTTCTTCTTCCACTAAACCCAAGAGAGAAAAGTATTGTTTTCATTTTTGTCTCCATTTTCAAAATTTTCTGTATTAAAATATGAGTCATACTCCAAAATTTTTTTACTTTATCACATGTCCACTGTTATGTCCTGAGGACTCAAGGAGTTCTCACTCAGGTCCACTCGCTTTGTGTGGGCGTTATTCCCCCATTCCCATTGGTCGGTTCTCCCCAGCAGCCAGCTATAAAAGCAGGCTGCGGGGTCCAACTG